CGATAGACGTGCGATCACTCTCTTTCCTTTGCTCTTTTCCATTTAGGTATATATCCGTCTTGTTTTTTTTTTATATCTCCGCCTCTTTCGAGTTTTCTTTTTCACCGAAAGTTCTTCTATTTTCTCGCACGACGCGCAATACCGAGAGAGAGAGAGGGAGAGAGAGTGAGAGTGAGAGAGCAACGCTTCCAGGTGATTCCCTCGTGATTCAAAGTACAAAATCCGTGAGCTTCGTCGTCACTCTTGAAATTGAATCGAATGCTCGAAGCTTCTAGTAATTCTTGACGATATCTGCTATTACTTTCAATAGCGAAAAAAAAAAAAAAAAATAGAAAATAACCAAAGTAATCAATTTTCAGTGCGAATATGGGAATTTATTTTACATTAAATATTTTTATTTTGATTAAATTTTTTTTACGTAAAGAAATATTTACAAATTGATTTTTTTTTCCAAAATATATGTGAAGAGAAAATTCTCTTGAAAATGTTGAACAAAGCTTTGCTATTGTATAAAAGGAAAAAACAAAAATGAGAATTTTTTTTAATCAAAATTTTTTCCTTTAAAAAAAAAAAAAAGAGTACAATGGTGGGGAAAAATGTGAAATTTTCTAGTCTTGAGAAAAATTTTATTTTCCTTGGATTAGATTTTAAAGTAATTTAAAGAGATGTTTAATTTATAATTATTATGATTTTTGTTTCATTGAATAGGATGATTTTGTGTTGTAAATTCAAAAAGTCGGGGGAAATTATTAGGAATTAATTTTTTTTTTTTTATTCTAACATGGTTACTATGTGTCGATGGGAAACATATGCATAACTATCACGAATCTGTCTGTGTATATATCGACGTCGTCTGCCACTGAATTATGCATTCGACGTCAACGAAGTCCTTGTTTGTACGGCAGTACCTACTCTCGTGTGTCTGCGTCGTGCAAGAACCTCTCTGGCTGACTCAGTCTAGCTCTTTAGCATGTTTAAGGAGAACAGAGTAATGAGGAATAGAGATGGAATTATTTATCAAGTGAACTGTACTTGAAACTTTGCATGTTAGATTATATACCAAATTGCCAAAGAAAAATAGAACTTGAATTATTTTCATTCTCATCCAAATAGGTTCATCGCATTTTTAAACATCATTAATGAGATAGCAATGTTGATTTTATACTAACGAAATTTCCATAAAATAGAATTGCGTTTTCTAATTAAGAGATGCTGTTAAAAAATGAAAATTCAATTAATTGAAAAATCTTGTTTTGACAGGATAATAGATTTTCCAAATGATAATAAATTTTTTTGGATGGGCAATTATATTTTGTTTTTCTCTCTTTTTATTTAAGGGGAGGGACCGGTGAAATTTCAGCCTACTGAAGTTATTATTGTTAAAGAGTGTCAATTTTTTTTCTGGCATAATTTAGGATCCAAAATTATTATAAATTATTAAAATTTCAAAAAAAATTTATTTTAGCCATTTTAGAAAATTTATTTTTTGGAAAAATTAAATTTCTTTAAATTCCATACGATTGATTGTTTAAAATCGTGAAAAAAGCGTAAAAAAAATTCGACAATAAAAAATAATGAAAATTGTGGAAGTAGTTGAATTTTTTCAAAATTACCACTAACATTGAAAGCAATCAAAATTGATCTTGTTTAGGGGTAATAATTTTTTTCAACATTTTTTTTTCAACCAAAAATCTTATTCTACTGAGAAAAACAACAAAAGGTAATTTTTAACAATTTTACAAATATTTTTATTTTTCAAAATTTTCATTTTTTGAAAAAATTGAAATTTTTCAAAATCCATACGCTTGATTGTTTAGAATCATGAAACAAGCGTATAAAAAAATCGGCAGTCAAAAATAATTAAAATTGTGAGAGAAGTTTAAATTTTAAATTTTCGAAAATTTTGAATTTGATTTTAAAAATTATTAACAAATTTATAGTTTTTCAATTTTTCGTGATATATTATACATTTAAATAATTAATATTGTCAGAAAAAAAATTGACCACCCTTAAACAGCTTTAATTTTGATGTGTTAAAATTTCAGCGGTCCCTCCCCTTAACGAAGATTCAATTTTTTTGGTTTTAGTAACACGGTCCATTGTTGATCAGATTTTTCTCATGAATTTTTCATAAACATTGATCGATTTTTATTTATTACTTTATAACATTTAAACTATTTTTTTAAACTCGTCAAATTTATATAAAATAATAAAAGAAATGTTTATTGGGAAAAAGTTTAGAATTTTTTTTCGATAAATATATTTTCTCAAGATCTTTATTAAATTTGATCTCGTTGCGATAACTAACTTGAACGAACTCGAAAGATATTTAAATTAGGTATGCAATTTACTAAAAGTATTTTAGCATTAATGTCACGTCTTATGGCTAAAATGATTTTTCTCGCCTCGTAAAGTAGATGAAATGACGAAGACTAAAAGACGGAAGAGTGTCTTCAGCTGATAAACAGAATTCCTTGTTCGTTGAAAAGGGAGAGGGGAAACACCATAATAATGCCAACCCTATTATCTTCAAGACATAATGAAAGTTTGATATGATTTAATGATATTTTTTTTTTCTCAATATTCAATTGTTATTTTGAGTATTATAAAAATCAAAATATTTTTTTTTTTTTTTGCAAATTGTTTATTGGTCAAGAAATATTAAATTATTTAATATTTTTCCCCATGGTAATGTTTTTATGGTCACGTATAAATTCCATTAGAGGCCGGAAAATTTTATTTTCATCCAAGTTTTGCTTTTACGATCTGAAACTTTTATCATTTCCGCGTACAAGATTTTCTTAGAATATCATCATAAGGGAATAGGATTAAAAATGTTTTACGTAAATTATTTTTTTTTTGTTTGTTTAAAAAATAATTTTATTTTTAATATTGTTAGCATTCTTTTTTTTATATTAAAATTTACAGAATTGAATTTTAATCCAATGGACTTTATTAAATGATAATTTTTACTTCTCATAGATTTTCAATAATGTGAGTTTTCCGTTTTATGTGAAAATCTAGTGGAAATAATTCGGTACTTGGGGACTTTTGCTCAAGTCCATAGAGGTAGCGGATTTGAACACGCCACTAACTTTCGTTGAATTACTTGGACTCTTATTAAACCGCCTTTCAACCGCTCGTAAATTTTACGAATTACAGTCGTTAAAGCTTAGGTATTCGTATGTGAGAAAGAGAAAAAAAAATCGACTCGATTCTCATTTTTCTTTTTTTACTTTTATATACACGCCAATATCTGCATATTGATTATTAGCAAATGCGACAGCATCCAATCGCGAGAGGGTGGATCATGTTTCATGTTGTTCAGTCTTATATCTCATCTCGTTGAAGCTTGTTTTTCTATCATTGAGACCTTTTTGAAAAAAAAAAAACTATATTTCATAAATCGAGAAGTAAAAAAATAAAATATAGAATTCTGTGATTTTCTTTTTATTGAAATCAAAAGTTTTTATATTCGATATTTCCGTCGAAAGGAAAGATTAATTATCCTTTTCTTTTCTACATTCACCGGAGGTTTCATGAAGCTTGAGCAATTGCTGGTAGGATGAACAGAAGATTCGATTACCTCGCTAAGAGGGAGAGAATAGTTGAACGAGTCAAATTAGTCTCCTTTTCGAAGGAATGAAATACTTGTCACAAGAGAATCAGGCAGAAGTCTGTGTTATTTTTCATTAAAGATGCCTCCCTAAAGATTCAAGTATTTGAAAATTTAATATTCAAACATTTTTCTTTTTCTTCAAACTTTAAATTTCGTATTTAATTGAATTTTATAAATCAGAAATTAAAAAAACATAAAAATATCTTTGAAAAATTTTTATTCATTGCAAAAAGAAGGAATTGGCATTTCTGCCAAGATTTGTAAAATGGGGTTGAATCTTCAACAATAGTTTCTACTCTTTAATAGTAAAGAGTGTCAGTGGGTGGTGAAGTGCAATCTATCATTCTCATTCGTGGCACTTTACTGGTCTCGCACTCCTTTTTTGCATCCGTCGCATCACTTACTCCCAATAGAAGAATATTTAAGTCTCACTCCTCGGGAAACTTAAAACCATTCCTTAACTTTTTTTTTTCGAACTTCATCCATCGAAGAGAGTTGACATTTTCTTTCAACGCAATCACTTTGGTTTATTTTTTTTTTTCTTCATCTCATCTGACTTTTCACTCTCGAGGTTTGTCGCAAGACTTCACGTGGAAATCTTAGAATAATTATTTTTTTCTTTTTTTCTAAAAAAGTTGACTTTAACTTCATTTCATCAAGTTAACTTGCAATGAAAAAAACTACTCACTTGAGAAAATATAGGTAGATATTGGTATATATTCTGCATACCAAAGCTGTTAAAGTTTTGTATAAAACTTTTCGCATTTCCAATTCTGGTCTCTTCAAAACATTTTATTGATGTAGTTTAACTTTATGCAATATCACAGAAAGTAAAACTCCATCAATAAAAGTTTTAAGAATTAACAAGTTTTAAATGTTGTGCTTTTAAGTTTAAAATTAAATTTATCTCGAGAATTTATTCAAGTACCATAGAAAATTTAAATTAAAAAAGTAATTTTTGAAAACAATAAAAATTTCAGTTTATTAAAAGAAAATATAAAATGATATGGTACATTGATTTTTCTCATTCGTTTCTAAATAGTATAATCGACAAGCTTCCGCATTTCGTATTCGACGTATGGGCTATGCTTATATTTCAAATATCATTCCCCCAATATGGAGGGTAGTTCTCGACAACGTGAGCTGCATAATCTACGATATAAACTAGAATTAAGTGCCATTGTGCATATTTTCTTGCGTATAACCATCTGCGTTATATTCATTAAAAGCTAACTAAATATTTTTCATGACCAATTTCTTTGAGTTATTAAAAAATGTACTAACGAATTTTTATGACTTTGTACGGTGGAACATAAAGAGATAATAATTCGAAATTATTTTTTTTGAAATATTTAATTAATACTTGTTTTTTTTTTTACAGAATTGGAGAGAAGTGTTGGTGCAACACAAGGGGCGCCTGGACCAGTGGAAAGTGGTCGGGGGTCGGCAGCCTCTCCTGCCCCCTCGTCACCCTCAACATCTTCAACTCCTGTTATTAGTAACGTTTCATCTTCGACTTCCTGTACGTCTTCCCCTGTTTCACAGACATCAACCCTCGTCGCAAGTCACGACAAATCAGTGCTTCAGGTGAGATTTTCTAAATCAAGATTTATTTTTTTTGCCATGTATCTAGATTTAGAATTATATGAGAGAGAGAAGGAGAGTCGTTAGGGGCTTATGTTGGGTTTTCCTATAGAGCAATGCTTTGATAGCACACTCGTAGCATCGCTCGAGAGTAAATGCAGAAGTTGGATGGCGGTCCTTCAATTTCCAAAGTACTCACGAGTCCTATTTGTACCCGAGAGACGCACGAGGATTTCACGCCATATTCGTGACTGCAAAGCATAACAACGTTTTTGAGGAAAATGAGCTTTTCTCTCCGGAAAAGAGTAATTCCTCACTCTATGGGGAATAAAAAAGAAACAAGATTTTTTTTTTTTCACAAAAGGACAATTAAAAATTAAAATTCTATTTTATAAATGTAAATTTTAGAAACTCTTCTTTTTTAATCTTTATCTAAAAATTGTTCTGATAAACAAAGTTTGAAACAATGAATTTATTCAAGTAAATAAAAAAAAAAAAAGAAAAGCTGTATCACTTGAAGCTCCGGAGAAATCTTCTCTTTCTATTATAGTATTTGTCTTTAGAGTCTTCGCGTGCCGAGCTGTTACAAAATTCTTCTTCTAACTTGCTCGTTTTCCTTCATTTGTGTTAGTTGTGAGGAACGATCATTCTTTAGAGTGGCCTAGCTTCAGGCGACTCGACTAATTAAAGTACGTAAATTAAGTGAAGGCGGGTAAATAAAAGCTGACGAAAATATGGCAGAGCTGTGCGCAATTATTAATGAAAAAAAAAAAGAAGAGAGATTCCATTCAAAAACAGAACAACCAATGTTCAATGAAGCAAATCAAATTTTTTTTTTCTCTATTTACGAATTGGCTTGTATTTCAAGTGTGACACGTTTTCAATTCAACGATATCTAACTTAATTGTCCAATGTGTTGCTCCTATTAGTGTTCTATTCAGTATTCATTATTCAATTTCTCGAAAGCGAAGGGTTACAATTTACAAACTATGATTCCGAATAATTATTTTTTATTTACAGAGAAAACTTTTTTTTTTTTAAATATTTTAAAAATTGGTTGTTTTTTTAAATGACGTTTTAATTAAAAAATGCAATTTTTTTTTTGAAATAATTATTATTGTGAGGAATAAGGAAAGAAAATACATTGGTCATTGACCTAGTAACTGTGCGTGACATTTCTTGATTGCGTGTTACAAAAGCTTTTCTTTACCTTTAGAGAATTGCCCTTTCAAAATAACCTTTTATTTCAAAAAATATGTCCTTTTAAATAGGTTAAAAATTTCTAAGATCATTTCCTTAAAATCTTTAATCATATTTTTGTAAATGATAAATGTTTTATTTTTTGTTTCAATATATAAAAGAATTTTCCCTTGACATAAGTTCACAATAATCGTATTTTTGAAACATTAAAGTTACCAAGTGTAAGAGACGTGAAGTGTAAAATAGTGAAATTCGATATTCTAGAATAAGTAACCACTGGAGCGTCCTGGGAGTAACATAAGTTTTCTCTCTCACTCTCTTTTTCTTTACGCAAGTATATTATAATATTCAGACATTTATTTTTTGAAGTCATGGCTTTTTCATATCTCTTTGATTTTATGATTTTTTATTATTTTACTATTTTTTCTATTTTTATATATTTTTATTTCCGATAAAAAAAAAAACTAAAATGTGAATATAAATTCCTTGTTATTGAATTGAAAAATGATTTATTATTGTGTGTCGACAAAAGCGTTTGCAGAATTTAAGCTGCATTTTCAAATTCCTTGCGTCTTGGAATTTTGCAAGCTTTCGCATATATAAAGTCACTTGCGAGTACTCTGTTAGATTTTTCATGCTTGTAGAAACATCAGCGTAAAATACTTAAACAATTTTGTGTCTTGTCGCGCAAGTCTAAAAGAATTTAACTTATTTCCTTGGGCAAAATTGTTCATCGCTCTTATATATAGAAGAAAACAAGAGAAATTTTAAAAATCATTTTTTAAATAAACAAATTTAGAGTAAAATCGCTAAATTTGAGAAGAACTAATTTTCGCAGATGATTGTTCGATATGGAATTTTGATTATTATATGGGATAATTATAAGAGTACTTGAACATATATCAAGATGTTGCCATTGACCTTAAAAAGCTTTGTAATGACATGTGTTGTCAAATGGAGTGAATCGAAGTCAGCCACTTACGAGCAGACACTCCCTGTTAATTTCCGGTTGCAAACACCCTGATTCCGGTTCTGTTTGGTCCCCCCAAACCATGACACTTTTCTCTCTCTCTCTCTCTGTCTCGTTTATACCGATTTCCACACATTGGTAATATTTCTCTCGCCTGGCCAGTCGCGCAAAAGATATACATATATATTTATCAAAGTAGTTTTCCAATCATTAATATGAAAACTCACTATGTAGTGTGTGTAATATTGGAAAAATTTAAAAGTTCATTAATAGATATGAAATGAGAAAATTTCTTCATTGAAAATAAAATTTAATTATTGAGAGAATTTTTTTAAATATGAATATTATTTCATTTACAGATTCGAGATTGGCTCACAGTAGAGGAAGAGATGCTACGTCAACAGATTGTTGTAGTCGGAGACATCGACGAAATTATGCAGCTTCTCGATAAACAGAGGGTGAGTGTTGAATATTATTATATAATTATTATATTCTCTTATTATAATTATAAGGTAAAAAAAAGAGATAATTATTAGATAAAATTATCTTGAAGATATTTTTCTAAAATTGAAAAATAGTTGTGGGAAAAAAATTAATTATTTATCTTATATATATATACAATTAATTTCTCGGAACAAGGGTTTTCTGAATCATTACACTTTTATCGAGATGGACGATTTGGACCCATGTCTGGATAATTGAATTTTGTACTAGACATACAACTAATTGATCAATAATTTCGCTTCATTTCATTAAATGACCATTAGGTGGTATTAATTCGAAATGCTCTTCAAACTAATACCATTAATATAATTAATTATATACCAAATGACACAATAGATTGAAATTGACAAGAATAAAGATTAAACAAATTCTAGTATTTTTTTTTTAAATAAGTAAAATAGAATTTTACATTATTTCAGTGGCAAATTTAAATTTTTGGGATTGAAAATAAAATATTTTTTTCGTATGAGAATAATAAAGATGTGATAGTGCAATAAATGTAAAAAGGAAAAATTTAAAAAATAATCTTATTAATTTGAAGAGAGAAATTTATACGTTTCGTTGGATAAGGTTATTTGTGTTTTCTTGTTTGCTGTGAAAAATTATGTTCTTCATGAATTTTAATTAAAAAAAAAAAAAAAGGAGATAGGTGTAATAGAGCAATCAAAGTAAAGTGGCGTTGTGGTGTTGTATAGACAGGGCTATAATGCATAGCTGTAATGCAAACTTCTACCTCTGCCCTTTTGTTTCGATAGGATGATTAATTTTTTTTTTTATTTTTTTTATACATAAATATAAGAAATTATCTTTTTATTATTCCTATTAATTTTTTATTTCTTATATTTAATTTCTTCTTCTTTTGTATATATAATTTTATAGATTTTAGTTTTTTAGTTTAAATTCAAGAGATTCTTTTTTCTAACTTGTTTTTTCTTTTCCATTTATGTTTCGTCTTCTTCATTTCCATTTTGGAATATTTTCCTTTATTTTATCAATTTTTTTTTTTTCCAAATGAAATTCTTTTGAAAACGAAAAATTTACATCAGAATGAGTTTCTTGTTGATTAGCATCTTGCGACTTTCAATATATATTTTCTCTTCAATTCAGGTAGTTTAGTTTTTTTTTCATTAGATGATGTATTTTGTATTTAAAATAATTTTTCAATTTTTTATTGACAGTAAAAATTAAATTTTATTAAAAAAATTTTATTTATATTTTTATAACGAAACTGTTTTATCGATGTAGTTTGGTTTGAAACAGTGTGCAATCTCGACGGATATATTACACGTGAAGGTAAATGTCCGACGTGAAAATTTGAACGCTCCTATGGTTGTTTGAGAAGTTGGTATGAGCGATATCTGTTGGTTGAAATAAAAAGTAGAATATAGACCTTTTTTTACCCCTACGAGAAAAGAGCAATGTCGATTCACAGGGGTTGCTGGGGGGGTGGTTACTGTCCGGAAAAACCCTGACATTGGCATTGACGTTAAACGGGCAACGACCGCTCTTGCCTTGCCTTCGTTTACACCTTACCTTCTCCGTTTCAACTTCCTTCTTCTCAATCTTATACCGAATAAACGAATTATTCCCTCTGACGGATTCTTTATTATTTTCTTCCTTCAGTGTTCTTCTATATGCATTTTTTATTATCTTTTTATTTTTATTCGTTTTTTTTTTCCAAATTCCATGAGAGCGGGAACTTTTCTTATCATCGTAAATACTATTTTTCTATTAACTCACTCTCTCTCTCTCTCAATCTCCTCGAGCCATTTAGTATAGTGTTCAAGATTTAATTTTCCTCAAGAAAATCACCAATTAGCTATTTCTCGAGTAACACTGTTATTTTCCCTAGGGGGAAAAAATATATATATTTGTCTCAGAGATAAAAAAAATAGTTATTTTTATAATTAGTAATAATTTTAATTGAAGGTTTTTAATGTTAAAATTGAATTTAAGAAAAATTGGACTTTTTTTTATAAGCGAGAAATTAAACAGAAAGTTTTTTAAAAAAACTTAAAAAGAGAATAATATTCAATATTTCAATAAATCTCGTGAAGCTCTTTTAATCATCTTCCATTATAGGGCACAAAGAAATGGAAATATAATGGTTCTCTTCACTTGGGAAAAATAGAACGGTACTTCCGCTTGATGCATTTATGAATAACTAAATGGGGTCAACTGAGAGTCTTTTTTAAAACTGAGCAAAAAAAAGAAAAGAAAAATAATAACAGAAAGCAAGTTAGTTAGTGGAGTTTGTAAAGGATGTTAATTGAGTCGTAGAGGTTGTTGGTATTCAATAATTTAATTGGTGTAATACACAGATTATTATTTGTTTCTCTTATTCGAATTTGACTCTCTACAAGTCGCAAACTGGTCAGTTTCACCAATCTTAGAATTTTAAATCCTCTGGAATTTGGCGCGAATTTTTAAATTCAATACTATTTATTTAAAATTTGATAAAAATTATTTTTAATTTTTTTTTGGATTTTGAACGTTCACACCCAGAAAAAAAAGTTATATTTATCTCCATTACGGCGGTGTTGCTATTGATTTCCGATTGGAAAGACGGAGTAAGAGCAGCACACACAGTTGGCTATATCCGAGAATATGGGGTTGGGTCCCCGTATTCGGCTAGTTTCCTGAGACTCGCACATATATATATATATAGATAAGTACGCGTAGCACATATACATTTATATATATGTACACATATATCGCGCACCTTTCTTGCACTTTAACTTGACGTTTTCACGATGCACGAGACCAGGTGCACATTTTCTCACTGTCAGTCAAAAGTTAATTCAAAAATATTTTTTTCATCACATTTTGCGATCACCAAAAATTTCTTTCCATAATTTAAGGTTTTTTTTTTTATTTCTTAAATATATTTTTACGGGATCAAAAATTTATTTCTAATAAATAGAAACAAGATTTTGGAAATTAAAAATTTTAATTTAAAATTTACTACGAAAAAAAATATCTCAGCTAACATGAGCTAATGTCAATTTCTATTATATGGATAGCAGTTATTGTTATAGCTAATACAGCGAATAATCAGCATTTTTTTTGCTATCATTGCTAAAAATTATAACTGTTCACGTAAACTCATTTTTCTCCTTAAAAAAAAATTCTTTTATAAAAAAAATTCGCAACATATATTTGAGAGGACAATATGGATGGTGGAAACATGTGAAGAGAGGAAAAACGTCGGGATATAGGAACCTAATGAAAATAAAATGGGCGGATAAGATGAAAAACGAAGTTTTAAGTATGGTGTGTAAGGGAAAAAAAGAAGGGGCTTTTAAAAACGTGGTAGGTTAAGAAGGATATTTTCTTGAGTAGAAAAGTGCGGGAACAAATAACTTTATAATGTATACAATCGAAAAGAGGAAAAAAAAAATATTATTTATGCGAAATGATAATATTTTTGCTATACAGAAAAAAAAGTAATTCGAAATTAAGTTCTATAATTAAATTCTAGATTTGATAAAAAAAAATCCATTTTTTGTATTATTAGTCATTGTCAGGGAAATAATTCGATAGTGGTTATTTTGAATAATTAGAAAATTTTTCATCTTCACTTTTTGGCGCATGATGGTTATATATGTATATATATAGTATAACAACAGGAATGCGTGGATGGTGATAAAACGAGCGAGTGGCACGCGAACAAATCATTGCATATACACGCTGCAGTCGCTTGTTCTAAACATTAATTGCTTCAGCTTTAATGCCCCTGTTTTACATGTGATTGTAATAGTTCATATTCCCAAACAATTCTGGTTTCCTATATATATATATGTATATAAGTCTAGCCAATGTTCAATTATATTATATTGTAGAAAGAGAAATTGTTAAATCATCCGTGAATCGTAAGCTGAAAATAAGTGGTTTTTGGAAATTTTATGAAAAAATTACTCTTAGTGTTTTTTTTTTGCGTTTTTCTAATTGTACTAAGTTTACATATATTAAAAAAGTTACTGAAAAGTTTCTTTAAAATTGTCTCCAAGTGTGCACAGGTGGAAATTTATAAATTGCGGTTGTGAACACCGACTTTTTCCACTTGGGAATTTTTATTTCTTCAAATATTGAATTTCTCAAGTCACAAATAAAAGTAACATGAGAATTTTGTTTTGGATTTTTGTCTCGATTTAGGTAAAATAATCCATTTTAGTAGTAATTATAATAATTATTATTATTATAAAGATTAAATGTCTCATTAGTAGAATTAAAAAAATACTATTTTTTTTTCTAATATAGCCATTTTGTATTAATGCGATTATCGTAAATTAATGTAGTGTGTGACATAAGATTATCGTATATAACTGCGTTCAAGAGGTGTATTTGCATAGCACGATTTTAAAAATGTTTTAGGGCATTGATCTGGTGACAAAGATTAATGGCCATTTCCCTGTCACACAGGTCGTGTATCATTAGTAAAAGCATTTCATGCCCTTTTTTGCACCTCCACTCCTCAATTCCACGACAGGTTTGCCGCTTTCGTTTTTTATTTCAGTAAACTTTTCTGATTTATATACCACTTTTTTTCTACTAAGAAAATTTTCTGCTTACCTTGAAATATCAATTTAGAGAATCAAGCAGCAAACTTTATAACGATTAACGTAAACGATAAAAATTCCACCGTTTTTGTGAACTTTTCACAAATATAATATTAATGGAAACTTTAATTTCTAAAAAAAAAATTTGTAATTAATTTCTGTTGTTGTTAATAAATCGTTTAATTCTATTAAGACTTAAAATCCTACGATTTTTTTTCACAGTAGTAAAAATAAATTATAGTCAGACTGAAGTGTTTAAAATAATTGTCAGTAGAAAAAATAAGTTTTAGTCAGACAGAAGTGTTTAAAGATCTACGATTCTTTTGTTAGTAGTAAAAATAAGTTTTAGTCAGACGGAATAATTTAATTATTTTTTTCACTGTTTTTTTTTATTAATTATTTATTCTTTTTACTATTTATGTCGATATAAAGTGAAAATGTTGATTTGAGTGAGAACATTTTCTTAGCCGTTCATTTTTGTTTTAAATTCTCAAATACCTTTGTACACTAACTATAAAAACAGGGATTTAATTACTGAATCTCGTGCAAAGTTTCACCTACCCTTCACGAGAACGTAAGCCGTTAGCGTCATATCTCGCGTGGTTTACGAGGTAGAGCTTTTCGCAAGCAGAGGTTCTGCGGAAGGCATAAAGAAACTAGCGTGTCATAATCTTCGCGATTAAAAATAATTTGTCACGGTAGATTTCGCAGTTTTTTGTCTCACAAGTTTCGATTTTAATAATTTAAACTTTCTTTTTTCAATTAAAATGTACAAATTGCAGTAATTTATTTCGAAATTTAATTTTTTTTTTTTATTATTTCATTCAATTAAAATCTATATTCGGTACTTTATTCAGTAATTAAATTTTAATTTTTAATTTAAGCTTCTTTATGAAATTTTTTATTAATACTGAAATTTTTCTTTATACTTTCAAATGAACGGTAATGCGAATTGATATGAAATTATTTCTATATTTAAAGTAGAAATTTTTTTTTGGTTATTATTTTTTTTTTTGTTATTATTTTTTTTTTGTTCACTATGCTGTATATAGGATAATCATAAAAGTTTCCATTAAATTCAGAAAGCCTTGCAAAGAAAGAAAACCTTTGTGAAGTTAAAGAATGTTGAAAGCTTTAAGCATCAGATTTATTTTCAAAAGCTTTATACTTTAGATGGAAGAGAAAGAAAAGCGCTCCAAAATGTCGGTATAATTTAGGTATACTTATAATGGGTCTCGGGGAATAACAATGAAAATTTATTGTTGAGTATATATTTTTGTTATTGTACATTTTTTATGTGTACTCGAGAGATGTATATATATTGCGTATGCGCAAAGCGCCACAACATCCGACGATCATTCGAAATCGTCCAATATTAGATAGGGAAAAAAGTAGTGAAGGCTATGTTTTACAATTGAGAACAAACAAATTATTATTATTTTGCTAAATTTTTGTGCTGCACTGTTTGGAAAAATGTCGAAAATTTGTAGATTTTTTTTTTATAGAAGAAAATTTAAATTTGTTTTTAATATTAATATTTTTGTTAGAAGTGTAATTAAAAAATTATAATTTGCATTTTATTCATTTTATTAAATTGTAGAATATTTTATTTAAAAAAAATTTTCTCTCGTCAATTTAAAATCTCATAATTTAAAATGAAAAAAAAAATGCAAATTAAATTAAAATTTAATTTTTTAAAAATTTCATTTTTAACTAAAAAAATGAAATTTTTCGTTTAAATATTTGATATGTATGGGAAAAAAAGGAAAATCTTGTTTTTGGAAGTTTGGGATTGCAAGCGAAGGGCTCTTATCGTTCACTGAAAAGCAGAACTCTATATATATCTATACGCCGAGTAGAGAGTCTGCAACCCCTTAGGGTTATGTCCCACAGGACAGGAGGAGAAAAGGGCATCCCTAAAATTCGGTTTGGTAGCAAAATCAACCAGTTTCTCTTTGGATATCGCAGCTAAAGTACACGTGTTCTGTAATCTCATTTTTCACGTTTACATTACTGGATTAGTTGTGTGTGTGTTTTTTTTTTTTTATTTTCAAAATCTCTCTCGCTATCTCTAGAAAATTTTTAACCCAGTGCATATTTTATTTGGACGAAACCATATGTCAAATTACTGTATATTGCACTAGTCATTTATTTTCGTCCTTTAATACTTTTAAATCCGCTATAAAAGTAGGAATTCACATTTTTCGTTTGGCAGCAAGGTTGTTAATAGTTGAAGGTCGGTAAAAATCTGCTCGGTGAATCGCACTAAATCCAGATTTGTTAGGAGAAAAACAAATATAATATGCGCTTGCTCGTCCCATTTATCAACTACAGCGTATGGACAATTTTTATTGTCATTTGTACGCGTGTAAAAAAAAAAGTTTTAAACTTATTTAATCTCTCTTTGTATATAATAATGCTCTATTATTAAAAAATGTAATTTAATTTTTAATATTTTTAATTTACTTTTTTTTTTTTTTTTTTTTTAATTTTATTTGTATTGTATTTTTAATTCTATTTTTAATTTTGTATGGTTTTAAATTTCAATAAGTGCGTATGTATAAATTAATTTCACGCGGTAATTATATGGAGAAAATTTGGTGCGCATGTAATTATAATGACATTCACACTGTAATCGGCAGACGTAACATAAATTGAATCAGGTGATAGGGGTGCATAGAGCAAACCCGTATTTGTGTGTGTGTGTGTGATAGTACACAGTATGTAATTTAATTGACATGTGAACGAAATATATGTATATAATTTGCTGTGCAATGTTACAATTTTCAATTTACACGCCCAGTGTTTGTTAAATTAAACATATTTGTTTATATAGAGAATTTGATATAAAATAGTCTAAAACTTTGATTCTGTTCTTCATATATATTCACGGGCTTTTTTTCCCATTTTATTTTCATAAGGTTCGCCTCTTTTTTTTGGCAATTTACTTTGTAAATAGTAAAAAAAAAATTGTATTTATCTAAAAAAGCCCTCGACTTTCAGTTTTTTTTACCATCGTTTTAATTCTTTTAATACTTATTTTTTCGCTTTGGTTTTAAATATTTTAGTTTAGTTTTTATTTATTTAATAGGATTTATTTCAGACTATTATTCCTCTTAGAATATTTTTTGTCTAAAATGCAAATCAAGTGAAAAATGCAATATATTGTGAAAGTGTAGGACTACTATTTTATTACATGTAAAAAGTGCAGTTTTTTTTTGTTGAAAAATGGATCCAAAAGAGGGTTGTTCTCAAGTAACTCACACGTACACGGGAACGTTACAATTGCGTTTCAACGTAAGTGGATAAAAATTACCCTTTTTTTTATATTAACAAACAAAATTTTCATGTTAGAAAACATTTGTATCGCGTAAAAAAAAGAGGACAGAGAACAACATTTTTCGTTGTACTTTCCCGTTTATTTATCTATTTTAGAAAAAATATCCTATCTCTTTTAACCACACTATATAAACACAAAAAGAAAACGTTAAAACTTCCTGCCACAAACCACTTCTTTTTTTTTTTTTATTTTCCAACTCAAATGGCATTTTTGTTTGTTTCAACGAACTCGACTTAACTTATAAAAGTAATAATATTTTTTTTTTAAGACAAGAGTTGATAATTCTTTCAATTTTTTTTCCTTTTTAATGAAAAAAATGTTTTTGAGATTTTTTGTTGGGAAATCAGTTGATTGTTAATTATTTTTTCGAGATTTATTGAACAAGAAATATTTTACTGTGCAAAAAAAATAAAAAATGTTTTTTCAATTAAAAGCTTTTTTCCGTATATAATGTTTTATTTCATTGAAAATTGAATTTATGAGTAATGTTCTGTTACATTAAAATTTTTAAATACTTTATTCAATTTCATTGAGTTGACCTTATGCCTCGAATAGAGAATATTAAATATCAATAAATGTAATTAATTTTTTTCTCATTGTTGAATTATTTTGACATATTCGCATTTCATGAAAATTATTCATGCCTGGGGAAAAATTTATAAGCATTTTTTTCATGTTTATTATATTTTAACTTTTATTCTTATATTCATTAATATGTTTTAAATATTAATATTTAGTATTACATTTATTACAGAAAATAAGTTTAATAATGTATTTTTTTTTTAAATTTAACTCAGAATTTAAAAAATAAAAAAGGTTAAAAATTATATATAACGAGGAACTTTTGATCTTGACTGGTGTATGTAAATACCTGGAACTGGCAATCGACACAGTCATCATAGTCGGTAACCACGCAATATCAGAGAAAACTCCTTTATGTTGAGAGCATAAATTTCAGTTTAAGGAAATGGAAATGTTACTTTTTTCTTACTTTTACATGTTTTACCTTTTTTGTTCAATTTAAATATTTTTTTTTTTTAAAGAGAAGTAAGTTTTTTGATTTTATTTTATTTAAAGCAATTGTAGTTTATTATTGTTATTCTATATTTTAAATTCTACAATAATATTGCAATGTAAATAAAAATAGGAGAAATAATTATGTCTGCTCTCTGAAGGTTCGACCCAACTTTTATTACCCCTTGTGATTTTTCTACCTGCGAGAGGAATTTATAATAATATAGCGAATTTCAGTTTTATAAGTGATCTTATAGTGTGAAGAAATAAAAATCAGTGTGTAAAATTATATTTATTATAAAATAATAAGAATATGTTCGAAAAAAAGTAATTTTATTTAATTTCGTGATTCTAAATAACGATTGTATTATATATATTTTTTTACAGACTGTTCTTCGAGAATTGGAACAAAAAAAGCCGCAATTGGACGAGTTGGTTCACACTGCTGAGAATCTCCGTGCTGATACAAATCGACAACAGCTGCATGGCAAGGGTGAGTGAATAAAAAAAATTTTATAATATTTTTTAAAATATTGTTTATATGTTTAGATTTATATAGTCGTTTATCAAACAAATGACAAAAAATTAGCAAAAGAAAATTTTCAATGCAAAAAAGAAAATATCGAAATTTAAAATACGCGGCCATTTCGTTTAAAATTACCATTACCATTAGTAATAATAAATTTTAAATTCAAAATCGAAACGATTTAAATTAAAACGAAAGATTGGATATAGTTCCGAATAGCACATACCTCCGATTTCAATAAAACTTAGTATCCCTACGTAATTTGGTGCGCTGATTACGAAAATCATAGTGAAAATTGGCGGAAATTTAATTATCATGGTAAAAACCATAAAAAACACCATAAAATCATGATTTTTTTCGATTATCTCGTAAAAAACAAAAAACTTCGAAAAAAGTTTTAGACGAAAGTTGTAGATCTCTAAAAAACACACATTTCATGTTTTATGCATTTTTTACCAAAAGTCATTATTTTTCGAGAAAAACGCAAAATAGTAAACACGGCCTTCGGCCGCGTAAGGTACTGCTCGCTTCTCTTTTTAAGAAATCTTGGCGAGAGGGGGTGGATGTGTCCGAAAGTAATTTGCAGAAATTGTGGGGTGGAGTCTACAGCAGCGGTAAACGCAAAATAGTAAACACGGCCTTCGGCCGCGTAAGGTACTGCTCGCTTTTCTTTTTAAAAAAACCTTGGCGAGAGGGGGTGGATATGGCCGAAAGTATTTTGCGGAATTCGTTGGATCCTGAGTAATGGTGAATATGATAATTTCTGCAAATTACTTTCGGCCATATCCACCCCCTCTCGCCAAGATTTCTTAAAAAGAGAAGCGAGCAGTACCTTACGCGGCCGAAGGCCGTGTTTACTATTTTGCGTTTTTCTCGAAAAATAATGACTTTTGGTAAAAAATGCATAAAACATGAAATGTGTGTTTTTTAGAGATCTACAACTTTCGTCTAAAACTTTTTTCGAAGTTTTTTGTTTTTTACGAGATAATCGAAAAAAACCATGATTTTATGGTGTTTTTTATGGTTTTTACCATGATAATTAAATTTCCGCCAATTTTCACTATGATTTTCGTAATCAGCGCACCAAATTACGTAGGGATACCAAGTTTTATCGAAATCAGAGGTATGTGCTATTCGGAACTGCACCCGAAAGATTAAAACTTTACTTAACGGAGTTACTGAAAAAAATTTTATTTGATTTAAAAATATTATTTGACTATTATAAAATATAAATATTTACATGAATCGGAATAATTATTATTTTGAATCAATTTGTATTCGTATCAATTAATTTATGTATTCTTACTAACTAATTTATGTATTAGTACCAATTAATTTATGTATTTGAAACAAATAATATTTAAATAATAATTACTTGATACAAATAAATATTTATTTAATAATAGTCGATTTTATTTAAATCAAACAATTTTTTTCCAATATAGGAATTTGAAGATAATTTTGCGCGTTAAGTGGTTCCAAACCAGTTCTAATCCAATTAGATCCAGGTTTAATTATCGGATAAGTTGATTTTAATTGTAGACTTACGAAAGCACTTAATGACTTACGTTTGACATTAAATTTCTTAAACTTACATCAACTATAATTATTATTATAATAATATTGAATTTTAATCAACAAGTTGGTGCGATGAATTTGTCCATGAACTTTAGTAATTAATAATATTAATTTTTAATTTAGTATTTTATTTTATTTTTGTTTTTTTTTAATTATATAATGATATTGTTTTTTCTTATCAACAGAACAAATTAATGAGTGTGTTTTAATTAGCTTTTGTCAGGAGTGTTATGACTTTTCATTTCATTCTCTTTTGTTGAGTTTGTTTGAGGTAATATACAGGTCTAGATATAATGAGGCTCATTAGAATAATTTGTATACCATCAAAACTCTTTTATTATTATTCATTTTCTTAGAGCGGTGGGTGTGATAATATCGGAATTTTCAATTTTCTTCTTGTAGAGATTAATATCGTTTTATTAATTATTATTATTATTATTATTATTATTATAATAAAGTCTTCTCATAAATTCTCTTAATTTTGCATAAAAGATAGAACATTGATTCAATGGTGATATAATTAACTTGGCTACTGAAAGGATTGCAAATTTTCTTTTTGCCCTATATATCTCAACGGAAGGTTGTAAATTTTCGTGGAAATTAAGGCAGGCGATTTTACAGTCGTTTAATGTCCTCGTTAGCAAAGTGTACGGAACCGAAAGACCAACACTCTATCTACAAATGTTTTTCTCTCAATCGCTTCACTTTGATACTGAATTTAAGGGAAAATTATTTTTTTTTTATTTTTAAAAAGCTTGATTAAAATAGAAAATATTGTAGTTAATTTGTGAAAAATGTTTAGTCATTTATATTCTTAGTTATTTGCCAGATGTTGCGCAAAAAAAAATCTTTTTTGATTTTTATTTTTTTCCCGTCGGGACAATTTTTCTTCTATATATATATATATATATATCTCTCTCTTCTTAAGAATCTTTTTTTCATTTTTCTTTTTCCATTTAACAGAACAAATAAGAAGGTCGAGAGAAATTGCAGTGATTATGCTTTCGAAACAGCTTTTGTGCATTCGGTGAATATAAATGAGTATGCTTTACTATATGGAAGCAACTTTTCACCTTGTTTCAACAATAGGGGGAAATTTTTCAAGAAATGTTTTTTTGAAAAAAAAAAAAAAAAAATGTATAATTTATTTATTTTTATTAAAATTCGCCTTGAGGTGTATGTCACCTATATATTCGTCAGTTAACCGAGCTTTAATTAAGGAAAGGGAAACATATGAGACACGCAACCTTTACGCTGCTTTTACAAGGGATGGTGCGCATCTTTCACCCTTAGTTTATGTGGCGCGAACTTGCTTGTCTTGAACTTAACCAACAACTTCTCGGTTGCCGCACTACCATTCGCCATTAGTGCAACACACACACATTTCTAAACCCACTTTGAGAGAGAAAGCATTTCACATTTTAGAACAGTGCACGCTATTGTGCGGTACGATTCCTGTCACAAGATTAGGCTTCCAAAAGTTGCATGACTCCCTTTCAAGATCCCTGCCCGGGAACGTTTTTCTTTTTAATTTAAGAGACGAATTAAAATGTTTATATTCCCTGTGTTTTTATTTTAATTTATATTTGTTAATAAATATATTAGAATTATATATCTGTTAATAAATATATAAAGTTTTTTTGTACAAATTCTCGATAAATCTGATTTATTTTTGTGTATAAATTTTTTTTTTTTTTGCACAAATATCATAGTAACGCAATATCCTTTGCTCGTGTATTTTCCCTTTTCTGTTGGAAACTTTAACCAGACTCTTGTTACGTTAAACGACTCGTCTCTCCCACGGGACAAAACTTTCTAGGCTGTTCGAAGGCAGTTTGCAATTACCTCGAATCTATGGCGACTGGGCGTTATGTATCGTCTAAATTATACGTACTTAGCATAAATTACGATTACCTTAAAGTCACGGTATTATGCATATCTTTATTGCTTAATTATAACCGGTAATAGTTTTCAGTCATACAAAGAATCGTATATATAAAATGTTAAATTTATAGGAAAAATAAGAATTTACATTTTTCAACTTTAATTTCAAAATTAAATAATAGAATTTAAAATAACGATAAAAATTCCACGAAAAGTGCCTGTAGGAATTTTCTTGGAAATTCCGTATAAATTCCATCAAAATTTCCATTGACTCTTCATTAATTAAAAAAAAAAATTCTATGAAATTTTGTAGACACTATAAATTTTCCATAAATTCTTCATAAAATTTACATGGAATTTTTATTAAAATTTCCATGGATTTTATATTGAATTTTTATTGATCTTCTATACAAATTTCATAAAATTTCCGCGAAATTCCTACAGAAGGTCCATGTAAACTTGGTGAAAATTTCATGGAAATTTGGTGGAATTTCTATGGAATTCCTATAGGAAGTCCATTTACACTTGATGGAAAGTTCATGGAAATTTGATAAGAAATTCCCTAGAAACTTGAAGGATTTTCTACGGAATTTCCAAATGGAATTTTCATGGAAATTCCTTGTAGCATTTTCCGCAGAAATTCATAAATTTATTTAAGTGTAGCTCAGCATCCGCTGGACCAATCAAAAAGTGCCCCATACATTTTTTGTTCGAGACTTTACGCTAAAGACTTTGGCGGTATTTTTTGGCATTATTCCCGAGAGATTATCTCGCGAATTTAATTTTTCGGAAATTTTTCCAAATTTGTTTTCTAGTGTAGCTCAGCATCCGCTGGACCAATCAAAAAGTGCGCCATACATTTTTTGTTCAGAACTTTCTTCTAATAACTTTGGCGGTATTTCGGAGCGATTATCTCGCAAATTTAATTTTTCTATATTTTTTCCAAATTTGTTTTCTAGTGTAGCTCAGCATCCGCTGGACCAATCAAAAAGTGCGCCATACATTTTTTGTTCAGAACTTTCTTCTAATGACTTTGGCGGTATTCTTGAACGATTATCTCTAAAATTTAATTTTTCGAAAATTTTTCATAAATTTATTTGAGTGTAGCCCAGCATCCGCTGGACCAATCAAAAAGTGCCCCATACATTTTTTGTTCGAGACTTTTTGCTCAATTTTTTGGCATAATTCCCGAGAGATTATCTCGCGAATTTAATTTTTCGGAAATTTTTCCAAATTTGTTTTCTAGTGTAGCTCAGCATCCGCTGGACCAATCTAAAAGTGCGCCATACATTTTTTGTTCAGAACTTTCTTCTAATGACTTTGGCGGTATTCCCGAACGATTATCTCTAAAATTTAATTTTTCGAAAATTTTTCATAAATTTATTTGAGTGTAGCTCAGCATCCGCTGGACCAATCTAAAAGTGCGCCATACATTTTTTGTTCGAAACTTTTTCCCTATTTTATTGGCGGTATTCCGGAAGGAATATCTCGCAAATTTAATTTTT